ACTCGGGTCCTTGTGCTTGTTTTCAAGGCAGGCAGCAGAACCACTGAGCTAAAAAATTGATAAATTTTTTTAACAGACATTAAACACCAAAACTCCTCAGAAATATGGATAATGCAAATAGTCATATCTATTACAGAAATAGAACTTGTCACATATGACCTTCCCCTAAAGAAAACTGCAGGCCCAGATGGCCCCATGGGGAATTCTACAGAACATATAAGGAATAAACAATTATGATTCTACATAACCTTGTCAAGAAAATGCAGGAGGAGAAAACATTTCTCAACCCTTTTTATGAAGACATTCTCACCCTGGTCAAAAACATAAAAAACTACAAACTGTATCCTTGATAAATATCAAACTCTAAATCCACAATAAAACATTAATAAATCAGATCCAGGGCTGGGGATTTAGCTCAGCGGTTTGGTGGCCTACCTTGCAAGTGTAAGCACCCAAGTTCAATCCCCGGTACCCCAAAAAATAAATAAACAAATAAACCAGATCCTGTGGTACATTAAAAAAAGTCTTTAACAAGTAGGATCTAGCCCAGGAATGTAAGGCTGGTTCAGTGCAAAAAAGTTAATAAGAATAGTTCATTATATCAAGAGAGCATAAAAAAGAAAAACATGGTATCCTCTTACTAGATAGCAAAACAAAAGCTGTGTTTGACAGAATTCGTCATTTTTTCATGATAAAAACTTCTCAGCAAACTAGGAATAGACACTACCTGTCTTTGTAAATCTTAAAAAAAAAAGGTATCTACAAAATCCTACTTCTGACATTATACTCAATGGTAAAAGACTCATTTCTTTCTGATTAAAAAGTAAACTAAGGCAAAACAAGGTGAAGATGTACAGTCATCTCTGTATTCAACATGATATCAGAGATCCTACCCAGAACAATAAGACAAGAGAAAGAATAGGGATACATATTGGAAAGGAAGAAATAAAATTGTCTCTGTAAACCAGATATTTTGAAACACCCATTAGAATGGTTAAACTTTAGGATTCTTTTTTTTTTTTTTTTGTTACTGGGGAATTGAACTCAGGATATTGCGCTTGTAAGGCAGGCATGGTGCCACTGAGCTAACTCCCCGTCCCAGACTGGTTGAACTTTAAACACACACACACACCTGATCACACTACATACAAGGGACCTTTGACTTACATTTGTGAGTGCTGGTTGTAGCTCAAATTAGTTGTAAGTCAAGACTATTTTCCCATAAGAAATAATAGAAATACCCATAAGGCATTACAAACCTTCTAAAGCACCCTTAACTAAACTTTTCATAATAAAAAGCATTGTATAATATAATTTACTAGAAAGACCAGTAATTTTCCTAGTGTACTCACCAGAAAGTTATAAAATGTACCTACCAGAAACAACAGTTTCGTACTGTACTCACCTTTCAAGTTGACATTGTTGGCTTGCAGGAAGGGAGGATGAATGAAAGGTGGTTACTGTTTGGAAAGAGTCAGTCCCCTTCCGTAAGAACATCAGGAGTCTGGCTCTCTGGCGTCCTTTCTCTCCTTGGGAGAGTCTGTAGCCCAATAGGACCTGCTTCTGGCTCACAAGGTCTCAACCTTTTCAGAATTAAAAACTGGCCTAAGGCTGTTTCTGTCTTTTCTTTAACTCTGTCCTGCAGTCTGATGTGACATTGTCATGAACCAAGTGAATGTAATGACTGGCTTTGTAGAAAGGACCCAGCCAGACAGAGAAAAAGCCAGTTGAGACCTTGTGAGCCAGAAGCAGGTCCTACTGGGCTACAGACTCTCCCAAGGAGAGAAAGGATGCCAGAGAGCCAGACTTCTGATGTTTTTATGGAAGGAGACTGTCCATGATGAGGAGAGCCTTGAGTGGTAAACCTTTGTCCTCTAGATATTTCTTAATAGTAAGACAGAAAGCCTCCCTGATCCACTCAAGAGAAAGTACTCTTGTTACCCAGGCTTTTGTGTTAGATGTCCATGTGAGCCCTAGCCTATTCTTCATGACTTTGTGTTTTCTAAACACTCTAGGGGTCTCAGGATGGTAAGCCAAAAGAGGCTTTATGTTGAGGTCACCACTTGCATTGGCACATAGCAATAGAGTTAGCCTATCCTCTGTGTGCTTGTGGCCTGGCACTTTCTTCTCTTCAGGGGTGATGTATGTTCTCCTGGGCATTTTCTTCCAGAAAAGGCCAGTTTCAAGTTGAAAACTTGATGAAAGCAAAAGCTGTTTCTCTTTGTCATCATTTTAAAGTGTGTATATAATTTTCAGCAGCCCTTTTATCAGCACTGGCTGCTTCACCATGCCTAGTTATGCTGTGAACCCAAGTTCTCACTTTAAAATTGTGAAACTACCCATTACGGGCACAAAATATTTCACCATTATCACTCATTGACGGATTATCCTTTATGAGATCTGCATTTATAGTCCTAGCTTTTTCATAAATTCTAGACTCAGGCTATAATCTGCCATCTGCCTTTCCTTTATTCACACTAATAACAACCTTTCTACCTCCTCTAACACTGTTGATCGTGATTTATTAATTTGAGTAACACCTTTAGCAACACCAGGTTCCTCATACAAATCTTTTCTCTGTAAGATTGTTGAGATGATGGATTTTGACATGCTGTACATATTAGTGAGATCAGGCACAAGACCACCACTCTCATGTTTATCTACGGTCTTCTTCTTTTCAATGTGATTGCTTTCCTTACCTTTCCTTCCTTCCATAACTTATTTTCTACCTTTTGGGGGCCTTTCTGATAGCAGTAATAAGTTAATATTAAAGTTCTGTTCGTAACCTAAGTTGTTCATGTGTGAGGCCAGTCATAACTTGAGGGTCAACTATATCTGAAGCAGTTGAGATTCTCATAACTTTGCTGATAAGAATGCAAATTGGAGAAACTTTGAAACTCACTTAAAAACATACGCTTACATACAGTTCAGCAACATAAATGGGTCCCAGATGGCATCATACTGAGTAATATAAGCCATTCTAAAAAGGCTATCACTCCATTTGTAGACAGCCTGAAAAAACAACACTGTGGTAGAAAATAGGTTAGGGGTTGTCCAATGTGGGATGGGAGAAGAAGGGTAAATCATAAGTGTGCGTGGAGGAATTCTGGAGAGGGACAGAACTTTGCCTTTACTGCCATGGTAGTTTGTGCAGTTGTTACCACATCTGTAAAACTCATACGTACGTAAACTTGAAAGGGTGGATTTCATGGTATGTAAGTTGCACCAAATGTTCAAAAAATCATTAGCTGGGACAGAACACAACAAGTGAAAAATCGCTGACCCTGAAGACACCTCAACTGAAACCCAACATGATTTAAGAAGAAAAAATTTTAAAAGAGAGAGAGAGAGAGACTCTCACAGACCTGTGGGAGAACATCAGTCAGACACCATGTAATTGAAGTTTCAAGAAAAGAGCTGAGAAAATTATTTTAATAAATACTAGCCAAAAGATTATCCCAGCCACCTCAGATTGAGGAAATTCAGCAGAACTTGAGCAGGATTAATAAATTATTAAAAAACAAAACGAAATGACCCTAGTAGTTTGGTAGATTTTAGTAGCTTGGTGAAACTATAAAGAACAAAAGATTTTTTAAAAGCCAGTAAGAAACAACACCAATGAAAAAATGTATTACATTTGAGAGGGCAGTGGCAGAAAGAATGTAGTAAGAGTGAGTTCCTTTAAGAAACCATTGAGGCTGGAAGGTTGTAACAGACAAAACACTTAACCTGGAGCTCTGTATCACAGAGAAATCTTTCCAGTGGAAGGTTAAGTAAGTGCACCTCACCAGCCAACGTGTATTACAAGAATTTCTCAAGGCAGCTCTCAGTCTGAAGGGAAATGGTACAGGCGGAAAGTCTGTTCCCAGTCTGCCTGGATGTAATCTCCTAGATGCTGACCTCCTTTAGTGTCCCCTCCCCAAAACCCTCCCCACCCACTGATGGACCCTGAAATTAATCTAGTGAGTCGTGACTGCAGTTGCTTTTGAAGAAGTAGAATAGAAGGGGAAATCCAGAAGTGCAGAGGGCTAAGTATTGAGATTAAGTTTCATTTTGGGCCCATGAGCTTGGATATTGGTTTACAACATACAGTGTGTTTCTTCATCTCTGGGGTGCAGCCAGAAAAGACCTACAAAACTCTGCTATAACCCTTCAAATCCCCACTTGTATTTGTTTCTACATGAATTTCTTTTTGCACATCTTTATCAATTTTTAAATTTGAGTTCAGATATACCTTTCCAGAAAAGTCTTTTTCTTATCTTTTCAAAGAGCAGGGCACCATTATCAGTGTCAGCGTGACTAAAGAAAATCCCTGGAGCTAAACAGCAGCAAAAATTCCTTTAAACTTAGCTTGAATTTCTCTAACCTTTCTCAAAACTTGTCAACAGTATAGAGGGTGGATGAGATATAAGGATAATCTGTTCTGTAAAGAGAAAGTTACTGTTTACCTGGAATTAAAATGCTTTCTGTTAAAAATGTGAAAGTGTCTTTTTTAATTTTGTTTTTAAACATGTTCTATTTCTTGTCTTTTTGTTCCTACTGCAAATTCATACTTTGTACTAGTTTTTCTGGTCCTATGTTACAATGATACATTTCCATTGAATCCTGAGGTTTTTTTCTTTGCAGTGGTCAAATGTCCAGCTCCAGTACTTCAAAATGGGAGACAGATATCCGGATTTGGAAAACCATTTTACTACAAAGTCACAGTTCAATTTGAGTGCATCGCGGGTTTTTACCTTAACGGCAGCGAGACGATCATGTGTGGCACTGAAAATGCTTGGGAACCCTCCATCCCACAATGTATCAAAGGTACAAAGTTGTCTTTTTTTTCCCTTCTTGCTTTTTTCTAGAGTTTACTTCTTTGACATTAAATATCAATGATACAGAAAAGCTTAGAAGCAGAACCTTTTTCAGCCCCATTCTGTATCCGTTTCTGTGACAGACGTAAGACATAAAATTCACACAGAACTCTCTTTTGATTCTGTATGTTTTCCCCACTAGGGTTCTGAGCATGTTGTGTAATCATATGGGTACCTAAATCTCTCATGTTCAATATTTTTATTTATAAAACATGGACATCAAGTAATATTCAGAGTAAGTTGGAGCATGGACTTTTTATATCACTGAGTTTTCTAGTGCTGCCTCCTCCCAGTACAAAACCTCCAACTTTGACTTATCCAAGTGCAATTAATGAGGATGAATATTGTTACAGCTATATGTGATAGTGATTCTGATATTTGCCATAATTCACACTTATGAACAGGAATGCAAACTTGAGAAAGTTATATAAACTCGAAATATGCTTCCTCAGAAGAGCGATGACTCAGTACCTTTTTTACCGGCTGAGAGTCCGGTCGAAGAGGCTGCATGTGGTGTTTGGTATAGGAGACGCTCCTAAGGAGAGCGGCCAAGATGTCCTCTGTCACTGCACCCCTGGCTTCCGTGTGCTGGTGTATGTTTTCTGTGTCTTTGCTTTTGGTATTTTATTATTTTTAAAGCCACCTGTTGACACCAATACTAGTACCTTTGTACTTTCTCATCCGGGATTAGGTTTCGTTTCCCAGAAGGAAGCCAGTTCTGTCTTTTCTGGGTAAGCCTCTGAACGGGCTGTCCCTGCTAACTCTAGCACGAGACCTGCATTGCTACTCCCTTTTCCACCTAAAACAATTTTTCTTTTTTTCTGTTTACGGACAGTTTTATTTGGTGTTAGAAATTACATTTTATAGCAACTAAAAGGTAGGAGAATTTCTCATTTACTGGAATGGATGGCTTCTTGCAGGGTCTGCTCATTTGAGACTGGAGAAGGTATCTCGATATGATGGGAGGGATTATCGTCCTGTTTCGGTTATCTCTGGCTTCCCAGCAGGACTCAGTAGCAGTAACGTTAGCTAAGAATGGCTGACGACCAGGCAGACAGCTGACAGGTTTCTGTTGGTCTCTCTCTGCCTACTGAGCTACCATTCCTATGGGCTTTAGGTTCCCTTTACTTTAATGTGGATACTGAACTAAAACAAACGTCCATTACTGGTTTCCTAGCTCTTTAATATTTTAAAGGACAGAGAGAAACTATATATGTTAAGATACTAATTACCTTTTTATAACTCCTATAAGAACCTGGTGCCCTCACCTTTCTTGGTGCTATGCGGTTGGAAGGGTGGAACAGAGGGAGGTGTTTTGGGGGGTGGACTGATAAGTGAGCAAAACTAGATCACAGTGAACTTTATACCCAACTACCCATCCCTGTTTGCTCACATGCCTGGATTGGGTACAACTGCCATGGTACACTATGAGGGCACGGTACGCTATTTGGGGCATGCACCTGACAGAGGCTACAGTGGCAGGTGAAGGAATAATAGACAAAGCACAATGAATCATTTATTCCTGGGGGCTGGGATTTGCTCTTAGCCTTTCCTGGCTAATATCACAAGACTCGGACTGCTCAGTATTTACTGTTTATACAGCATAGTAGGGGGCATGAGGCAAATGTGAGGAATAGCAGGAGTAAAGCACTAATGCGCCAGGCTTGGAAAAGGACAGGTCACAGTTAACGAGCCACCTGTGTTATCTTTCACTAATGTGCAATCCGGAGAGCAGCTGGACCAAGTTGTGTCAGTTGGCTGTTAGAGGCATCATTGAGTCTCAGCTGTGGCCACTGGCATAGGGAATTCTGTCTCCTACGCCAGGCGAAGGCTTATCTGGCAAGTCACACGTAGGCCTTGCATTGACTCACAATTCAATCAATAGCCAATTTGCTATTATCTTACAGCTTGCTCAATGTGCTTTCAAGCTGGTCTCCTGTAGTGCACTAGGGTTATCGATGTTCTCTTTTGAAAGAGTTGATTTAAAGGATATGTAAGATATCATTTTAGCTTGGAGTTTGAAAGATGAGGAGAGTACTAATTGCTAGAAAAAGTTTATGAGGAAAAGAGCCTACAGGGATCTTAAAAAAAAAATCAAAACTCCTGATGGAATCATTGAAGGAGAGATTGTATCAACAGCAACATATAATGAGGTTATAGTGCAATTAAGTATGCCAATATGAAAAAATGTTCAAGAAATACTAAATGAAAATTATGAAGATGCAAATTGTGTAGTGTGAGGCCACTGGATTTTTTCATTTAAAAAAGAGACATATAATTCCCATGTTTCTTTTATGATTTATTATTTGTTAACTTCTAAAATTTACATTGTAAAACACAAAGACAAGCAAGGCACAGTGGCAAATGCCTGTAATCCCAGCACTGAGGAAGCTGAGGCAGGAGGGTCACTATGGGTTTGGGGCCAGCCTGGGCTACATAGTGAGTTCAAAGCCAGCTTAACGAGGTAGTGAGATCCTGCCTCAAAAAAACAAAACCACAAAGTTGCAGTGAGTGCTTTTGTGTATATACCCTTACACACTTGTGCAGATATTGTGTAGGTCAAATACACAGGTGAAATTCCTACAAGTAGAATTGCAAGATTTAGAAAGTATGTGTATTTTTCACTTTGATAATCTTTTATCAAAATCAAATATCAAAATGAAGCCCATTCTTTTGTATTGATAAGACTAGTGAATTGATAGAGAACTGATGGACTATTTTTTTTTTTTTTTTTTTTAGGTCCTAGGCCTACTCACCCTGTCAAGCCTCCCGTTTACAATTATCCAGGTTTGATAATTATTTATCCTACTGATATAGTTTTAAATCTTTTTAATGATAGATTAAAAATTACGTTTTGTTGTCATTTGTATTTTTTAAATTTTCAATGAGGCTGAACTTTTCTTGGTCTGCATTTTCATTTACTCGTTTATTTGGCTTTTTTTTTTTTGGAACCGGAGATCGAACTCGGGTCCTTGCGCTTGTGAGGCGGGCAGCGGAGCCACTGAGCTAAATCCCCCGCCCCTTACTCACTTATTTGAGATAGAGTCTCAAAGGTAGCTTAGGCTGCCCTCAGACTCCTGGGTTCCAGGGGTGTATATCCAGGAAGAGAATTTCTGGTCCCTGGGTAAGTCTGATTTTTTTTTTTTTTTTTTTTTTTTTTTTTTGGTACCGGGGATTGAACTCGGGTCCTTGCGCTTGCAAAGCAGGAAGCGGAACCACTGAGCTGCATCCCTGGCCCCAGTCCGGTCTGTTTTTTAAAGAACTTCTACAGTATCCTCCGCAGCTTCTGCACCGTTGACGTTCTTGCCAGCAGTCCTCGGAGGTTTCAGATTCTCCCCGCCTCCACTAGCATCTGCTGTACGGTATCGGGTTTGTTTTGCCTTCACCATAATAGCCGTCGGTCGTAGTCCACTTGGTGCTGCAAATGGAATTCGGACTGGGTCATTTATAACGCACACACGTTTACCTGTTGGCTCTGGGGGCTGGAAGTCTATTGTGCAGGTGCTGGCCTTTATCAAGGGCATTTTCCCACATTGCAGCCTGGCGGACGGCCCGGAAGGGGAAGGGCAGGGGAGATCAGGGAGGGAGAAGGGGGGTACAGTGCCGGCAGGGGGCCGAGCCCATGCCGAGGTGACAGCCCTGGGGTCCTGGGACCTCGTGATCTAAATGTCCGCTCCAGCCGCCACCTCGGGTGGCGCCACAGCATCAGTTCAGGTCCCACTTGAGTTTTGGAGGAGTCAAGCACTCAGACCAGCGTCACCCGGAGGTACAAAGTCACAGCCTGAGAGGGTGTGGTTTGCATTTCCATAATGATCAGTGACGCGATGTCCACTTCCCCTGCTTCCTGGCCACTTGCCCATCTTCTCTCTTTGAGTTCTTGGCCCGTTTTCATCTGAGCTTGTGGTCACAGAGTTTGGAGAGTGCTTTCTATATTCTGAATATTCACCTCTTATCAAATACATGCTTTTAAGTGTTGCCTCTCCTGCTGTGGGTTCTTTTCATTCTGTCTGTGTCTGTTGGACACAGAAGCTTTTTGGTGAAATTCTTTTTTCCATCTTGGAGTCCCTTGTTGCCTGTGTCACCTCCTGGAAACCACTGGCCAACCCAGAGTCATAAAGTGTCTCCCTGCTGTCTTTTATAGTTTTAGGTCTTATATTTAGGTCCGTCTACTTTGGGTTGGTTTTGTACATTAAGGGTCCAACTTCATTCTTTTGCCTGTGGATGTCCAGATTTCCCAACATCACCCTCTCCGCTGGATCTTCTCGGCTCTCTTGATGGAAAGCGTTTGACTAAATATGACAGGTTCATTTTCCAGGCTCCCTGCTCCTCCATAGCAGTATCACCTCCCTTTGGCTCAGTGTCATTTTGTAGTTGCGTTTTGAAACCAAGCAATGTGAGTCCTGTCAGCTTTGCTTTTCTTGTTCAAGATTGTTTTGGCTATTTGGGGTCCCTCAAGATTTCACAGCAGTTTTAGGATGGATTTTTATATTTCTGCAGAAAGGATTTTGACAGGGGCTACACTAAATTTATAGATTGTTTTGTGTTTATTGGTAGCTTAAAAATAATGAGTCTTTCAGTTCACGAAAACGGGATGTCTTTCCATTTATTACATCTTTAATGCTTTTCAGCAGTGTTTTGTAGTTCTTAGTGTATAGGTCTTGCCTTCTAGGCTAAGCTTTTTCCTCAGTATTCTATTCTTTCTTATGTTGTTTTAAATGAAACTGTGTTCTTAATTTCCATTTTGGGTTATTTTAGTGTAAAGATATAGAACTAATTTTTGTGTATTGATTTTATGTTCTGCAACTCTGCTGAATTCACTTTTTAGTCCTAATAGGTTGTTTAGAATGCATAGTATATGTGGAATCCTTAAGGTTTTCTTCATAAAAGATATCATCACCTGTGAACAGAGACAGTATTATTTCTTCCTTTCCAATTTGGATTCTTTTTCTTACCCGACTGCGGCCGAGAACTTCCAGCACTGTGTTGAGCGGTACACATGGGCACCTGGCTGGATTCTGAGCAGTGTATCTTTGAGTCAGTAGTTAGCTGTGGGTTGTTTTTATATAGTCTTTACACTGAGGATGTCTCTTTCCATCCCAGACTGACTTCTAAAACACTTACTGAGCTCTGTTCTATCTTTAAACTGGAATCACTAAATATACCAACTAATTTTGAGAGTATATTACAGATAAATTTGGGGCTGGGGATTTACCTCCGTGGTTCTAGCACCTGCCTCATAAGCTCAAAGTCCTGAATTCAGTCTCTGGTACCGGGGGTGAGGAAAAAAAGAGAGAGAGATAAATTTGTATGCTACCACAATATTACCACAGGGCAGGAAGAAAGAAACTAATAGTATTAGATATAACTTTATAGAATTTTATGATACTACTTTAACAAATAGCGACACTTTATAAGGGAAGTGAAATTTTAAGGGATTTTGTACAAAGACGAAAAAAAATGAGTGTATGGACTTCAAGAATTTTAAGTTTTATTTCTTTTTTCTTTTATTTTACATAATCAGTTTTCCCTCTTTTTTCCCCAGGATATCCCAATCCCCGTGAAGGACTATTTGACCAAGAATTAAGTTAGTATTTTGATTATTAATAATAACTCTACATTATGAATCCATACAGTCTACATGGAAATATTTTATATTCCAACTGCAGGCAGTTAAGTAAGGGTCACATATTACCAGTGTTAACTGACATTTATAGTTACTTTGTGTTGATTCTAGGAATGTAAGTGATACAAACATGCGTAGAAACATGTCGGTAAGCACGGTTTTATAATCGCACCTCAACACAGAAAAGCAAATGGCATGAGGTCACTTTCTTAAATGTTCTCTTTACATGGAAGTAAAAATATATAAGATACAATTTGCTTTGCACACGACAGTGTTATTTTGTGTTGGCAACTGTGGGTAGGTTCTCACCCTAGTCATTGTCTTGTTTGCACCGACCTGAAAGGCTATAAGTTGGGTCAGAAATGGGCCAGACTGACACACTTTTCCCAGGTCCACACAGTTCACATCATATTAAATAAAACAAAGTATAGCCATAGCAGTTAAAGGTCAATGAAATGGAAAGTTTATTGATGAGTAAAAGAAGGCAAAATCTATTTTCATTTATTAGACTAGTTTAGTAATGACTACTCCTCTGATGAAATTTGTGTTGGGCTTATTTTGTAGTACACTCTTTTTCCATATCCAGGGAAGACACTTCTGGGGTCTCTGACACCAGAACACAATAGTCACACGTGGCCAAGGTACCTTCTCCTGTGCACTGTGACATCTTGAGAGGCTTTATAATACCCAGCCCAATGGAAATTGCCATACTCTATTGTTTAAGGAATAATGACAAGAAAACATACACAGACACAGTTTATTCCCCAAATATTTTCAATCCACTTGACTGGATCTGTGGATTTGGAACCGACAGTGACTTACAGTAGGGTTCCATCCAGAGGAAACCTAGTGTGAATGGAAGATACTCTGAGTTCAAACACAATCAGTGCCCCTAATTTACCAATATCATAGCTCAGCGGTACCGTGGATTTCTGGTTGTTTGCCCTGTGGTCTCATGGCTCACCACCCCTGCCCAGCCTCCTGAGATTCTTCTGTACGTCTGTCACTGACCCAGGAAAAAATCAAAATTCAGAGTTTTTCCTCTACTCTAATGAATGGTGATGTTCCGGTAACCTTTGTTAAATAACATGAGGTGGTTATTAAAAAAATCTATTAAAGATTTTTAAAAATTGGACCCAAAACCTGAAAACTTGCTTAGAAGGGTTCAGTCAGTGGTGCCACGAGCCTCTAACACCAGCACTCAGAAGGCTGAGGCAAGAGGATCCCTGTGAGTCTGAGGCCAAGTTGGACTACACTGTGGGGAAAAGAAAAACAGAAAACACCCACCTAGATGCACTAGTAGCCATGCTTAAACTAAGTAAACTTTTTTTTGCTCTAATTCTTAGATGTTCTGAGCTAAATAAAATTGAACCATCGTCTAGATCCCCACTTGTTCATGTTCTGTTTTTGCATTTTCGTAGATGCGTGGATCATTCTTCCGATTGTTCTTGTTGTAGGTAAATATCCCACATTTTGAATACTATTTTAACAGAGGTTTCCACTTCTAGAGTTCTTATAGTTTGAGATTAAGTAAACCAACCTGGATCGAGAGCAGCCTGGCCAAGTTAGCAGCTTAGTGGGATTCTGTCTCAAAGGAGAAAAATGGAAAGGGGCCAGGGAGGCCCTGGGTTCAATGCCCAGAACTGCACAGAAAAGCAAAGGTGGGAAAGCAACTGAGAAAGACTTGCCTTTACTTGCACAGTACCCGCTGCTCTGATTTTATATTCTTCTGTATCCCATACTGAGGATCCTACACTTAAAAAGACCTAATATGACACGTTTCCTTAAGATGATACAGTCAGAGTTTACTCCTTAAGTATGCTTTTGGCCACTTTCTACGTCAAGCTAGTACTCTTCTCTGACTCACTGCTGTGTTGGTGATTCCGGGGATCTGGGTTAGATAATGAAGAATTCAAGTGGATTATAAACTGTAGATACTTCAATACAATACCACATTCTGCCATATAAATGTCACCAACCCTGTTTCTTCCACTTAGATTTTGAATCCTGGTTTTCAGAGTGACGTTCTTTATTTCCCGTCTTCCTTTAGTGGCTACGTTGGCTGTACTGGTTCGTTTCGTGTACAGACTCACTGAACACCACAGTAAAAGGTAAACATAAGACAGTTCCTCTAGCTCATTGGTCCTTCTTATCCCTCGCCACTTCTGCACAGCCCAAGTTTGCACTGCACACTGGTAGAGTCTTTTTCCAGTTGTGCCTGCATCCTTGTGTTGCATTTCTCTGCTAAAATGTTTTCAGCTCTCCTTTGAACAGTGCAAACATGAGGAATCGTGCAGGTTTCTGCAGTGCTGTTCTAGAAAAGTTGCTGTGGGATGTGAGGTTTAAGTTCCTTAGGGACGCACGGCCCCTCCCACCCTGGGTATTTGAGTGACCAAAGTAAAGCATTTTGGGTGCAGACTTAAATATTTGTAGTCACTGGAATTTCTTGGATGAACGTTCCCATTTGTCTGTATAATTTAGCTGCTGTAAAGAGATGTATAGGTGTCATATTAAAATCCCCCATTTGACTTCTTTTCATTTAGGGTTGTTATCCATAAATGTTAAACTGGGGAATAAACACCAACACGAATTGATTTCTCTCTTATGTTCTCTTAATTTAGTAGATTGCATTGGAGTGAAGGGCTCAGGTTGCTGAGGGCAGCTCTGTTAACTTTCAGGTATCTTTTTCTCCACAAAAATTAAGCAGAACAGAAAAAAATGTATTTGTACATATTTTTAAAGGAAAACAGGGCTTTTAAGTATCCAATTTAAACTTTAACAGAAGAATTTACAATTTAATGAAAGATTTAGAATAAATCTTGGAGTATGGGCCAAGATTAGTCTGAAATATGCTTTTTTATTTTTTCCCTGTAGCTTTAAAAAATAGCTTTGAAATTAAGTAATTTTAAGACTTCTGTTACTTCTGTTTATTTCAACGTTTATATTAATATTCAGATTTGGGCTATGTAAGTAAAAGTATATTCTTCTCCCATAAAAAATCTCAAACTTTTCCATATTTCTTGATTAACTTTTAAAATATTCACAATTTCTTCATTTGAATCTTAAATCTTGTACTTTTGGGACACATAATATTTGTATTTGATTTTTCTGCAAGTTTTATTTTTTAAATCATATATACAATAATGTGAAGAGAAAATATCAGTTTATGGTATTAACAGTTTTATGAGTCTAAAAGGTTTGTACAGAAATAGCTTCTAGCAATACCAAAACAAAACAGCTCTCTACTCATTTCCTTTTTGGTTTAAAGTATCACTCCATCAAAATTTTTAAAGATTCCCAAGAAATGTTAATCAGACTCTCTCTAGAGGGTCTCTTAACTCTAAGCAATTACCTGACTGTTATACTTACAAATTAAAGGTTCAAAAGCAATAGTGGTTTGAGATTTCAAAATTAATTTTTATGATTTTTATTAAAAGCCCTTGTGTCATAGCACAGGGGGTCCAACAGAAAATTGCCTTATTAAAATTTTACTGTTTTGGAAAGATATTTTATCTTTAACCAATGCAACATAATTAATCTCATATATATTAGCACAACTTGAAGACAAAAATACAAAGAATGGCATTCTAATTGCCTTTGAACTCAAATGTAAGCTGTATGGGAATCTTTTCGAGTTTCCTTTGCTATTTTTGTGACAGAAACATACTCAGTATAACATGTAATGGTCGAACCAACAGTTAGGTTCTTTCGAATGCTTCACATGCACAGGGTCCTGGGTTCAAGGCCTGGCCAAACACATAACAAAAGGGAAATAAGGGAGGAAGGGAAGGAAGGGAAAGAGAGAACAGGGAAGAAGGGAGGAGAGAAAAGTTAGGTTTGTAACTTCCAGACGGCTTGGCTTCGAGGCCCTTCGGTCCGGGGCATTTCTCTAGGCGCAGTTAGAAAGCAGATTCGGGCGCTGCTGTCCGGACAGAGGCTCTGACTGTCGCTGCTGGAGCCGTAATGGGGACATCATGTTGAAATGCACAGTCGTGCTCACTGCCACACTGTTTTCATATCTAAGATCATCAGAGCTTAAAGCCTCCACGTCTGTGTGTGTGTACATATATACATATATGTTTTATATATTATATACATATATATGTATATATTGTACCAGGGATCGAGCTCAGGACCTTGTGCTTGCAAGGTAGGCAATGAAACCACTGAGATAAATCCTCGGATCCTTGGCCATATATATATTTATTCATTTATTTATTTATTTATTTAAAGAGTCTTTACTCTGTTAAAACATCCCGGCATAGGTGAGAGTCATCAAATTTAAGAAAATCATTTGCTTCATTCATATTTTCAATTATCTGTGACAGAAAAGTTTTTTCTATTAACCGTATTTATTTTGAGTTGTTCCCTACACCCGCCTTTAATGCGATATTAACATGGGCAGATTCGATTGCTCTGTCATTTTTAAGCTATCTACTGGAGTGTTTGTTTCATTCGGTGACGCATTCATTTTGGCACAGACACTTAAAACTTAAGACCAGAGACTGAGGGCACGGGGCAAGAACCATCACATCAAACTGAGCATCTTTTTCTAATTGGCTCTCAGATTTTTTAACATTCAACAAATCTTTCTAAATTTTGAAGCAAAAATAACATGTAATAAAAGATTGCATTGCTAGTTTAGGAAGCATAGTAACGAAATTACAGCCATGCCAGAAATGGGGGGCGGGGCTGTGTAACGCATTTTACAAGAGCTTTCCCTCAAGTTGAAAAAGAAATGCCAGAGGAAGAAACTGTACTCCATGCAGAGTCAAGATGTCTCTTAAAAATATAGGACGTGGGCCAGGGATTTAGCTCAGTGCTGCTGCCACCTGCCTCTCAAGTACAAGGTCCAGAGTTCCATCCCTGGTACAAAGAAGAGAGGTGCGGGGAAAGGAAAAAAAAATATGAATGACATGTCATAAAATTGATTTCTAAGACAGTATGACATAGATTTAATACATTGTATTTCCTTAAAATCCAGGGTGCTAGAGACCTCGCCCATGAATGTTTCTGTTATTTGCTTTGTGCAAGATGGTTTCAAGGTAAAATGTGTGAGGAGGCATCAAAGCAGCCTTGTACCAAATTCATGCTGGGAATCTGAAAACCTGGCCAGTTTATGGACCCTGAGCTCAGGTCCTCTTCCTTTTCTTCTATCACTGATTTATCGCATGTAACACTGCTCTTGCCCGGATCAGTGCCTCTGTCTCATTCAGCCTTTTTCCTTCCGTTTTCCAGCATCAACCCGACTGCTGACCACAAAGAACATTTACTTCTCTCTGAGCAGAAGAGATGAAAGGTTTGCTTTCATCATTAAAAGGTATTTGCTTTCAGTGTGTGTTTCTCTGTACCAGTGTCCTTTGTTTTGAAAAATATCCAGCGGGTATTTAGATACCAATAACCAATCCCAGAGAGGTTGACAGCAAACATCGCAGAGGAAACTTAGATCCCACCCTTTTGGCTAAATTCCTGGTGTTTTCTTAGACCATTACTTTTTGTGCATTTTGTGTATTTGGCCTAATGTGTACCTGCTCAGACATGGGCTTGAGTACACTTCTGTTTCCTTTCTTTTTATCAGACTTGCAGGTGCCCCCACTGTCTAGAGCAGCTCAGAAGCCAAAAGGGAATCTGGGGGCCCAGTGGGAAGTAATCAACAGAGCCAGTTCATTTAATTTCACGGAGGGGGAAAAAACGCCCTTTTACAGAAACCAAAATATATTTTATTTAATTTTATAAAGGTATTCTACTGGAATACGTGCATAACTCTATTTAAGATATTTATGTTTCCCTGGACCGGAATCCATTTGGCACATTAAAGAAAATCAGAAAAATTCTCAGACTTTGAAAAACTATACATTATTGCTTTGCCTTAAACCCTTCGGGCCCACCCACCTTCCATCTCTAACTGAAACGAACTCCAAGTGCTTCCCTGTGTGTGAAGAACGTGTGTGTGTCTGTGTCTGGGGAGAGTGTGTACCTTTGTGAGAGACTCTACCCAGGTCCTGATCAAGAGTTTGGGAGTAGGTGCCGGTCGTGCTGACGCTCGCCTGTAATCCCAGCACTCAGGAGGCTGAGGCAGGAGGATCGCTGTGAGTTCGAGACCAGCCTGGGCTACATAGTGAGTTCCAGGTCAGTCTCAACTACATAGTGAGACCCTGTCTCAAAAAAAAAAAAAAAAAAAAAAAAAAAAAAAGTTTGGGAGTAGGACCTACAAAGGCCAAAGGGAAACACAGTTCCTTAATAAAAACAAGCTTGTGTTTTTGAGCACGGGGCAAAGTGGAAAAACACATACGGACTAGAACCATCAGTCTGGCCCTCGCCAGTTCTCTATGGCTTGATCTCCTGTGACAAACTGAGGTGAAAGCCAGTGGGTGGTTTTCAGAATAAGCTTCAGGGTGTCTGAACATTTGAAGATCATTTAATGAATGCTGAAGTTAACAGAAAATAACTGTAATTAGCAATTTAGTTCAAATTTTTATTTTTGAAAAAGCTTTGTTGACACATCAAATGTTTTTAGTTTATATTGATTTTTTATCTTTCTCAAATATTAAATTCCTTTTTCAAAATTCTACGTAAAGGATTCTATTTCTACAGAAGAAAAAAGTACTGAAAAATACAGCAGTCTTGAAGAATTTAGCATCTGTCCAAACTATTAAGTCACTTGCCACAGCAGTCCTTAGAAATTGCTGTCACACTGGGTGCAGAGGTGCACACCTGTAATCCTAGCCATTTGGGCTGAGGCAGGTGCATTTCAACTTGGAGACACCCTGGGCAACCCGGCAAGACCTGGTCTCACTAAAATACGTACGGCTAGGGCTGTACTCAGTGGTGGGGTGCCTGCCTAGCTTGCACAGGGCCTGTTTTCAACTGCCAGCACTAACTTTATATACATATACGTGTATTTAATACAAGTTATATAAACTGCCAGTCGACTGAGGCAGGCTTGAGCTGCAGGGCCCAGCCGTAGGTCACTCTGAGGCCTTCAGAAGTGACTGGTCCAGCATAAGACGTGCTGTAAGTGTAAAGACACACAGTGTCCACCACAGGACAGGAAAGCGTGCAGTGCATGGCAAAATGTATTCACAACATTGTGTACCTACACAGGGTTAAATACTATCAAGTCTGCCTTTTTGTTGTTGTTGTTGTTGTTGTTGTTTTGAGACAGGGTCTCACTATGTAGTTGAGACTGACCTGGAACTCACTATGTAGCCCAGGCTGGTCTCAGACTCATAGCGATCCTCCTGCCTCATCCTCCCAAGTGCTGGGATTATAGGCATGCGCCACCACGCCTGGCTAAGTCTGCCTCTTTTCTTCTGCCTGTTTTCAATGTGGCCTCTAGAGAACGTACATATGTGAGTGCATCAGGCAGCACTGGGCATGAACTCTTACAGAGCTGCCCACTTTACAGCATATAGCAGAAACGCGAGTTACTGAGCAGAACACGGGATCTGGCCCGGGGGTGACCGAGGTACGCTGTCCCACCTCTGTGAAAGTCACCAGAGTTCCCACTAGAGCTCCCCGCTCTGCATCATGATAAAAGGAAGCACATATCTCTCCAGCCCTCCCTGCTGGCCCTGAATCAAAGTGAGGAAATATTTACTAAGTACTCCGTGTGCTGCTGCTCTGTTTGTTTTGGAAGGGATTAAAAATGTAATACGGAGATAGAAGAAGAGTTCTTAGAGCAAGACTCACTGAACCTTTGAAATTATCTTAAATGGATCATTTGTTCTCTAGTTTGGAGACTCTGGTGCTTTGGTTTTGTCTTCTTTGGGTGGGGTACGGCTCAGCAGTAGAGCATCTGCCTAGCATGGCTAAGTCTCCAGGTTCCGTCCCCAGCATCAGAAAAATGAAGGTCTGTTTTCTTTCTAAATAGGCTTCTGGGATTTAGTTTCTGTACTTAACTATTTACCTTTGATATCGTCTTTATTCCCTGCCTCGTAGGAAAGCACAGATTCCATAGACCACTTTCCAGAACAGCTGCAGCAGCCCCGCAGAGTGGGCAGCCCCCTGCCCGAGCCGGGCCTGTCCGCCAAAGCTCCGGCTGTTTCTCTTCTCACTGTCGTGAAGGCGACTGTTAGGCGGCTGCGGCTGGAGTGGAGGCCTCTGTGCTGCCCGGGCACCGCCACACATCGGAGAGTGAGCACAGGGCCTGTTTCCCTCCCACACTGTAGGTGAGGGGCGCAGGTCGGCCAGGGCCCCCGTCATCTCAGGGAGGGGAAGTCATCTATTCTACAAAACGTGCAATTTCATCAGAGAAACACTCAGTAGTTTCAGTGAAACTGATTTCACTTGTAAAGAACGGGATGTTGACGTCTGTTTAATGCCAACTCTTAAGACACTTCCTTTCGACAGCTCTAAAATGTATTTTATATAAAACCGCCGTCAAACCTTACAAATGCGTGTGCGCTCCTTCAGCGCTGAAAAACAAGGACGTGGTAAACTGGAGTGTGGACAAGCCTGACCCCTTTAACTAAGGAAGCTGTTGGAAAATTGTTTAGACTTCAGGAAGGTAAACTTCAATAAGGTGAACTTACTATTAATTTTTTGGTGACTTCATTGGTGATTTAAAGAAGCTAGAAAGTATATATGTGACAACCATTTTTACTTCTCCATGGTGACATCGGAATGAGAAGCTGGTGAGATACCACAGCCAGCTGCCCGCTGGTCACAGGTTGGAGACTGCGGCTGCCACTCGAAGAAGAAGTCACGTGGATGCTTCCCATGACTCTGCAGCCTGAGGAGACTTCTCAAGGCAAGTTCTGTGTGTTTTTTTGTTTGTTTTGGTTTTGGTTTCAGTTTTTAGAGACAGGGTCTCACTATGTAGCTGAGACTGTCCTGGAACTATGTAGCCCAGGCTGGTCTCGAACTCACAGCGATCCTCCTGCCTCAGCCTCCTAAGTGCTGGGATTATAGGAGTGCGCCACCACGCCAGGCTGAGTTCTGTATGTTGAATAATCCATTCTAACTTCTGGCTACAGGTGGCTTGCTTTCTCTCCTTCAACAGAGAGGTCTTGCCTTAAACAGGTTTCGTAGCAAATAAATTCATCAGGTAACTCCAGCAGGCGGAGGGCAAAACAGGACAAAGTGTCCAAGAAGGGACTTGGGTTTGCTGCTGGTTGGGACACAGCTCCCCCTACCCGGTCCCAACCCAGGCAGTCTCTTCAGAGACGCCAACGGGCAGGGAGGGACTGGCTCTTCCCAAGCAGTGTTTGGGCCGGCAAACATGGGTTCAAGAAAGGCTGCCTCAAGCAGGTGAAGACTGGGATTGAAGGAGGGGAGCACCACGCCACAGCACGAGTGCTTCCCGCTGCACGGAGACGGGGCCTGCCCTGGCGGCCTCTGCTGGGCGACCTGGGGAACCAGTGTTTCCGCAGAAATAAACAGGAATTCTGAATCAAGCAGAGTTAAAGTTTCCATTTTCACCTGCCTTCCAAGAATGTAGCGGTTGTTCAGAAGGAATCACTGTATCTGTGTTTTTAGGATTAAATTTAAATGTATAGCAGTTTCTGCTTCAAATTTAGTATTTTCAACTTAATATTTATGCTTGAGATTTACGTATAAACAAACATCTATTGTGTTTGTCAAATAATTTGCCCACTATTTAACTGTAGGGGGAAAAGTTTTCTTTAAATGTTTTTTTAAATGATGGGGAAAGAAGCGTATTTGAACTTGATATTTCTGTACAGCAAAAACGGATGTGCAATAAAACAAGAAGCCCCAGGCACAGGTGACCCTCGCTCTGCGTGCTGTGAGCAGGGGCTCGGGTCTGGTAAAAGTGAGATTGTGTGAGGACCGCTTCATCTGTGCACCCACCACGTTAATCCAAGTCGGTCTGTTTCTAATAGGAGTCCTCGCTCCCCACGCCGCTCCTGGTGATTCTCGGCATGAGCTTGACCTTCTGCAATGAAACCCTTTCTTTCTGCTGCATTTCTCCCGATAGCCTACTCTCAACCACCTGTCCCATGTCTTCTTCTCCACTCCCGGGCCCTGCTGCGTGAAATCTTTTATCTTCTCTAGAGCTGCTCCTCTCCCGGAGACTCTCCGATGCAAGCCACTGCCTGCAGCTCCTGGTTTCTCCCCAGCCTGTGTGATTATAACCTAACTGCCTGTTAGTCGCCTAGAGTCTAACAGAAGATGGATCTTCTGCACCTCGTAAATGTATAGAGTGCTAAATTAAAAATCCACCTCCCAGCGATTCACAAATAAAGTTTTATTTCTCTAACAGGATGAGGGTTTGTTCACGCAAAAAAATCACGCTGGCTGTCTTTGCAGATTGGAATTAGACTGTGGAGTCTCTCAGAGGGGGTCCCGTGTCCCTCAGCCATCGCTCACATTGGAATCACCTGGGAAGTTTCACCGACACCTGGATCTGAACCCGAGGGCTCATGGGTAAGTAATGTGGGACGTGGCCCAGGTGGCCCAGGGACGTGGGCTGCGTCCCAAGTGGCTCCACCAACAATCAATTTCTCTAAATAAACTTGCAGAGGGAGGTAAAGGTTTACACTCCCCTCCACCGGGAAAATCAGTTTCCACCTGCTAAAGCAGAAAATTTTAAAGAGTTCAGGCCTTGCCATCTAGCTAAACCTGGTTTACAAAGGAGAAATCTTTTTAATATCAACACTGGATGAAAACTATATCAAATATAAACAAGGAAATCGTTATAGAAAACGTTGTTTGACCTCGACTCATTTTTTTTCTTTTCAACTGGAAAAAATTACACAGGGAATGCTTTTAAGGTAATTAACAAAGTCTTCAGCAAGAACACTGCAGAGACCTGAGATTGGAAGGAATTTAAATTGGCTTCTTAAAGTACACTTTCGGGCTTAAGGGAAATGGGAGACTCTGGTGGTGTCAGGCAGGAGCTAACAATTTAACCAAGAATTTTAAAAAATTCACGTACTTGCACTTAAGGATTCTACTGGATTCTACTACCTTCTGGAACTGGTGCATATCTGAGTGGCTGCACCTGTGGATTATTTTTTTCCTAAACTACATTGCTCCCACAAGGTCGGGGCTCATTTGGAAAAGGTCACAGGGGGAGGAAGCCGACTCTGAGGAGCGTGACACTGCTGCCCCCCTGTGGACGGTCGGGGCATCGGCCAGTCCGGCCTCACTTTCAAACTGTCAGAGGTTCCATTTCTAATTTCATTTTGGATCCAATATAAAAGTAGCTCTCTCCTGCTGCTGCTGCTGCTGTGAAATTGACACCTTTAAAAAGGGACTAAACTCTTCCCCCTCCTGCTGGGGAAGCGCTGCTGGGCATGGCAGCACGTGCCTATATCTCCAGCACTCTGGGAGGCAGAGGCAGTTCCAGCCCAGCTCAAAACGCAAGATGAGAAGGGCCTGAGATGTGAGGTGATGCAAAGGCCCTGGGCTGAGCTCACTCCCGAGTGCCAAAAGTGAAATGAAATAAAAATGGGGTAAACACGGTATGGGGCAGGACGGGTCCTGGAGCAGACGACTCCAGGGAGCGAGCACCAGGTGACGGGCCACAGGGGAAGCTGCCCGCCCTGGTCTCCAACTTGACAGTGCCGAGCAAGAGAAGACTGGTGTAGAGGCAGAAGCCACCGAAGTGGATGTCTTCCCCCCTCGCATCGCTTCTAGGAACCTTTAGACAGTACTACCGCACGTCACCACAGCCTGTGCCAGGCCCCCGGAAACGAGCGCTCAGGCCTCCTGGTGCTTAGGACTGCGGCTCCATCAAGAACCCAGGGGCAGATGATCGGCGAGGCGCACTTCCTCAGGGGTCAGGAAAATTCTATCGATTACCACCGCCTCCACCGCAGGGCCCTGGGGAGGCAGGCTGAAGGCGCTCTGCTCCACGAGGGAGCACCAAGTGACTCACAGGAGCGTGAGGCCGACTCACCAGGTCTCCGGGCAGGAGGGCCGCATGTGCCCTGCGTTTCCAGGCACTGCCATGCAGTTGGCCTCCAAAGACAGCCAACCCCGAATGCCTAGAACTCGAGAGTGTGACTTGATGTAGCAAGAGGGTCTCTGCACATTAAAGCCTCTGAAATGGGGCGATCGCCCAGCTAGGGCACTGTGTGTCATCCCCAGGGTGCTTGGCGGAGAAGGCCGACAGGAGACTGACGGGCACATAATGGCAGGACCCCTGACCGTGCCACACTGTGGCTTTGGTATGGAGATGAGGAGCAGCCCAAAGAACGCAGCTCTGGCTGCTGAAGGAGGCAACGAACCCTGCTTCTCCGCGCCTCTGAAGGGCTGTGGCTTCCGTCCAGTGGAAGTGACTGAGACTTGTGCTAAGAATGCGTGTTAGGTAGGGCACAGGTTTGCTGTACTTTGTTACGGCGGCCACGGGAAGCGAATACACCACCGGCTTATACCCCGAGGCGGAGCAGTCCCGGGAAGGACCCCCAACCCTGGCTGCACGTTAGAACCACCCAGGAAACTAACAACAAAACGCAGTGTCCAGGCCCCTTCCAAGACCAGCCAAGCTGGAGCCTGCAGGATGGGCCCAAAGCTCACTCACCCAAAGGCTCTGGTGGTCAGGAAGCTCAGGTACCGAGCTCCCGCATTAGCCCAAAATACAATTGTGTGTGTTCCGGGGAGACGCAGCTGCCCCAAAGGGCAGACATACTGGTCTGCCAGGCAATCCTACAATTATATACCAGCTCCCCAAAACGAGGACAGGGCCAACGTCTGACACCAACAATTGCCAGGGTCTGTCCGGCCTGGGAGCTCCTGTCTCCTAATGGCTCATCAGGGCTTGGCTCCGTGGACGGGGACTACCTGCCAGCACACGCTCCTGGGGCTCCGGGCTGCTCCCACCTCAGTTTCCTCTTCACGTCTAAGTAAAACAATGGCAAACCCTGGCGATGCTTTTGCAAAGCATTCCTACCTCCATTGTTAGCACAGCTTCCTAAACCTGGTTTGAGGTGGAGTCACCAGGAGAAACATTCTGCATGAATCCCTCATCTAGTATGAAAAACCACAAAGGCAACTTGAAGCACATGGCTGTGAACTCATCCACTAATGCTATGTGAATGGCACCTCTGATAGATTTTACTTCTCATGATCTGACCTGGAGATGTAGCATTCTTTAAAATTAAGTGTTTCAATGCAATGCAATGAACTTTTATAGAAGAGCTTTCCAACCTCTGTGTGAGTGTGTATGATGCTCAACTTGATCCTCTTGCATTTATTCATTTGAGAAGTCAACCCGGGGCCTCAGGAGGGGTAGAATCATGCCTTGTATGTATCTGAATGCGAGTAATTTGGAGCTTGGGGTGTGTACGTGTATCCAAAGCAGGTGAACATGTGCTCAGCAGTGCAGAGTCCAAGGCTGCCGTGCCTGTTGTACTGCTATAGCTTTCTTTGACAGAGAAGCAAATAAAACAATACAGTATGAGGCCTCAACTACCCTCACCACCACATTCTGGGGATCAGAACATGGGTTCTTCAGTCACAGCCTGAAATAGCTCCCTGCAGGTGCAGGATGAGCCACACGGACTGGGAAATCTTCCCAACAAACGCTTCAGCCGCCTCCTACCCTGGCCCCAGTGGGCAGCCATCTGGGGGACGTGGGCTTTGAAGAGGCTTCTGGTGGCTGATCTGCCTCTACCTGGTGTCCAGGTGAGTCAGGGTCCGTAATACCTGCGGGAAAGCCCGATCAGGGGGCCACATCTTCCTCCCAGAGAGTCCGGGCTCCACCCCCGAGGAGTCAAATCTGGCTGATCTGGGAATAGCTTTACAAAACTGGCTCGCCCTGTCTTCGAGCGCTGATATAAACTAACAGCCAAAAGTAGAAGCCCATCTGTTATAACACAGCCGAATTAGTGATGCTCCGCTCAGGCCCACACGACGCTGTGGAGTAGAGGTTTTCTAGAACTTCCTGCAGAGGTGCTGCTTGCTCGGCCCTCCGGGAACCAAGGACAGTTTCCCATTCCCTCAGCCTACATCACCCGCGTTTTTCTCTTCTCCTGTTTTCCCGGTTTACAGAACCTCATTTTTGTCCTCATGAGCTTCATTTTTAACGTTTGCTGTCACCACCTCTGAATTCCACGAAGCAGGTAGGATCTGTGTAGTGAATTAATTTTTCAGAATTCACTTCTCATTGTCACAGGGTTAGGAATGGAAAATGACAGATGAAAAACATGGCCACGATCAGTGGGGTACAGCACGTTATTTATTATTAAAGTCAGGACTCCTCTTGACAAAGACAGCTCGATGGCAACCCACATACACAGAAAAAGCAGCTAAGGACATCAGACAAATTATAACAGTTTGGCTTTTTAAAAATCCATTAAATTACCTCTTACCTCTGCAGCAACCTAAGTACAGTAACAGAAGTTTCTGCCCATCCATCCTCCGGGAGCCCACAGGCTGTGCTGACCACACTGGCAACGAGGCTTCCGGCAGCTGCTGCTTTTCCCCCTACATCATAACCGATTTCAAATGGTGCTAGACAAAAACAGACTCTGAACACCAGGAGAAATCGGTCAGCCTGTGTAAGAGATGAGCCGGCGGTGGGCAGCTCCTTGCGGCGGCACCCTGAGGGCAGCGGTCGGACCAAGCAGGACTGAGCCAGTCCTGGGGCGTCCTCCGGCAGCTCAGGCCCCAGGCCCGGGCGCTCTCCACTCCTACCAACCGCGATCACCCGCCTGGCCACTGCGTTCAGCCTCACAAGCCTCTCTGCGCCGCCCCTCCAGACCCCAGATACCCACACGTGCGTCAGCCTCCCAGGCTCGCGAGAGCGGAGAGCCAGGCGTGGGCAGCAACTGCGAAGTCCTCCTTGTGTCGTGCTGCAATTCTTACTCCTAAAACACTGATTTCAAATGGTGCTAGATACAGAGATCGAAAAATCTAAGCCACCATGTGAAACCAGCTTCCAGAAGAAGAGGATCTCAGAAGAGAGCCGTCCGAAGACCCCGCCTCCATCTCCAGCAGAAAATCGTACGCTTGTGAAGCCACAGAGTCCCGGCTGGAAAGAGGGGAGCCACCGCGCAGCCCCTCCAAGATAGAGACTCACCGATCCGCTTCATTTCACAGCCGGCCGCTGTGAATCACCGCATGGGATGAAGGACAAGAGCCAAAGCGGCTGTCAAAGCGCATTTAGAGCACACAGGGCCGGAACACATGCTGCCCGCGGACCTGCTCAGAAACAGCACGAGGTCCTGTGTGAGAGCCGCGGAACACGCAAACGCGGCCCCACTAAGTGGGGAACCGATTGGCCTGGGGTCCGTAGAGAACCCGTTCCGTGCATCCTGAGATTTGCATCCAAAATCTGCCTGAAAATATAATTTACAAACTATGTTTCAAATTAATTTCTGACTGCACAACGTCCTTTGAGGCTGTAACAGTGTCGCCAGAGGAAGAGAGACGGCGTGAATTAGCCCCGCAGCTCTGGGTCCGGCCTCTGGGTACAGGGTTCTTCCCACTGTCCCTCTGCGGCAGAACAGTACCTGTGCTACAGGAAGAGGACGAGATAAAACTTGGTTCTCACAGTTCCATGAAGGCAGTCTACCGACTTTCGCAGTAGAAACTAATCTCTACTAAGAGCAAACACTTTAAAAACGGATCCAGGAGTGAGTCCAAAGTCTGCGTCCCTCCTTCCCGCCCACTGTTGCCAGCTCCTCACCTTGACTTTCATCTTTTTGCTCTGGAACTTAACGCTAAGCGAGGTCTGGGTGGGGCAGCACGGCGTTCCCTGCAGGATGTGGGGCAGGCAGACTGCAGGACACAGGCACCCCGGGTCTGCACCCTGGAAAGGGGCGGGCAGCCAGCCGGCCACCTTTACTCTCCTGAGCCTCTGCCGCCTCTGCAGCCCCCTCAACCTGACGGGCGGCTAGTGAGCTCTCCCTAGCAGTGGCCACGCCTCGGCCACAGGCCTGCACACAGGGTGCGAGTGACACCGCCTATAAGCAACCTGGAGGTTACAGACAGGTGGTCACCAAATATCCAACCCGTGGGGGTGAGGTTTACACCAGATAATTCTCAACCTTTCTGCTTTTCCTTTCAGCCAAACTCTTCCTTGGCAACTTTAGTTACCGCTACTTACAAACTCCCTTGCTGTGTCCCTGTGTCCCCCACTCACCTCTGTCCTGCCCCTTCCTGCCTCAGCCTCCTAGCCAGAGTGAGGGCTGAGTCTCTCTCCCCTTCCGTATGGTTTGTTGTTCCACGTGGCACTGAGTGAATGTTCCGCCTACTACCCGGGAAGCACAGCACCATCCAGGGTCCATAGAGCCACTGCCAGAGAGGGACAGAGGTTGGGAGCCAGCCTGGGGCCCCTCCTGAGATTCTGCAGCCATGCTTAGCTCTCTGGAAGAGGAGACATGAAGCCACGATAGGCGTGCAGTGCCGCTTTAAATCTAAAATAAGCAGGGTACGGAGGAACCTCAGCACCCCACCTTCTGCCCTTGATTCCCAGTGAATGAGAGGGTCATCTGGGTCTCGGCTCTCCTCTCGGTCAGATGGGCAGTGAAGGAGCCGCTGGCCACTCACAGGCCGGAGGCAGCAGGTGATCTCACAGGGGCTGAAGAGGCTCTACCTCCTGGCACCGAGTCTAAGCCTGCCTGGGTCTAAGGAAACCCAGCCAGCCCAAGGGGGACTCCTGCCCCGGCCCAATGGGCCTATGCACTCTGGCTGTGCAGAAGGGCTGGCAGGGCTGCCCAGGCAGGAAAACACCCCCAGGTGGAGTGGACAGGAGTCCCAGGGGCTGCCCTGGGCGGGGAAGTGGGCTGGGAGTTGTATCTCTGCAGCTTCTGTGCCACTCCGGGACACTCCTCTGCCTGGGCAGGGACCCAGGGGTGGAGGAAAGGTCACCCTGCAGTGAGTCAGAAGCCCGGCTCGGCCCAGACTCTGAGCACAGAGAGGGATGGACCTGCCCACTTGCTCCATGGGCCTGTGCCTCTGGTGTGAAGGGAGGCTGGGTAACTGGTCACCGACACAGTGGCTGGGAGGGTCTGTTCGGTCCCAGGACAGCAGCAGCAGCAGCAAAGACAGAGCCACCTGAATGAGTTTTGCTCTAGGAGCCCACGCAGTCAAGACACGCAAAGCAATGCCACGCAGGCCAAACAAAACACAGCTGAGGGTTCAACGTACTTCATGGGCCACTGGCTCAAAACAAAGATCGCAATGATAGCTTCCCCTGCGCTTTATAAACCACACAAGATCTGTTAAAGTCCTACATCTCTCCTACCCAGCATCGTGCCCTAAAAATTAACAAGGGGGGGAAACTGGAAGGAGGGGAATCCTTGTTCGCAAAACCCAAACTGGAACCCACTGGACCAGCCAGCTGCCCTCAGGAACTGCAGGCCCCCCGCCCCCATCGGAGCTACCAGGACGCATTCAAATGTGGACCGTGGAAGCCTCCTGCCCAGTGGTGGCAGCGGCGGCCTCAGCTTCTCCCTCCTGACCCGGCGCTGGTGCTGAGTCACAGCTACTTACACGACCGATGCCAGGCGGGGGAAGGGTGCCGGAAGCTGATCGTCCATCTTCTCGCCTCTGGGAATGCTGGTTTCAGGACAACTCTTCTCGGTGAGTGGGGGTCCTGTTTGCGAAGAAAGGGGAACATCTTGCGCGGGACACTACCCCAGACACGGTACGTGTGAGGCAAAGGCTTCCTGGCCCTATCACTCAGCCCCGTCCAGGCCCAGAGCCCCTGTGCTCCCTGTCAGGGAAGGGGCCTGCTGCCAGCCGGCCGAGGCCCAGGAATCGGGGAAGGTGATAGAGGAGGGGTGTGAGGGAAGGAGGGGTGGCCGAAGGTGGGCGTGAAGGAAGCCAGGAGGGCAGGGGCCGCACCTCACAGGCCCTGGGTCTCACGGAGAGAGTCACATCCTCCGCCCGGCGCGGGCGAGGGGTCAGTTTCCCTGAGCCCACCCCATGTGGGCCCAGCACCAGCTCTGGCGAGGACAGAAGAACCATGCTCTTCGGCCCCGGCTCTTCAAGTCAGACTTCCTTCTCCAGGTCAGTCCATTGCCGGGCAAAACCAGGTCTCGAAAGTTCCCGGACAGTACAGGCCCTGGAGGCCCTGGGTCGGGCACTGGACAGGAGGATGCACCGTGGCTGCCATGCAAGAGGTGGGCTGGGTACAGCTGGGGAGGGACAGGGACTCTGTGAGGGCTGAGCACTGACCTGTGTCCCCTGCGGGAGGGCTCAGCTCTCTCAGGAAGGGTGGACACAGCCTGGCCACTTCCAAGGAAGCTGGTGCTTTCCAGGACAGGAAGGGCGAGCATGCCTGTGGGCCGCTCCCTGGCCACGCACAGGGCACCCGCTCGCTCCGTGAGGACAGACGTCTCAGGCGAGCGCTAGCCCTGGAGGTGGGCAGAGAGGCTGGGAGCCCAGAGCCCCGTCTCCCCAGGCAGAGCTGGTCCCCTCCTTCCACCGCCCAGAAGCAGAGTGACCACCACACACAGTCCTACCGGGCATCACCTCCCCGGACACGGGCCTGCCACCCAGCCTCTGTAGCCGGCACCGCCAAAGGCCAGCGGCCGCCTGAGGGAGGACTCCAGGCTGGGTCACAGGTGGCACCGGGAAGCCGGGCAGATCCACAACCCCCACGGAGCAGTCTTGCCCAGAACCTGGGCACACACCTGGCGAGCACGTGGCCTGGGCACGCCCTGTGACGCGGTTCCACTTCCCTGTTGTGGGAGGGAGGCCGGGCCGGGCAGAGGCAGAGGTGGAGGCCGTCCAAAGCCAACCACGAGCCGCTCTCTCCTGCTTCCGCTCTGGCTGCACCTACACTGCTATGCCAGCTCCGCTCTGTTATCGGACCTCTGCCCACCAGTCTCAGAACACAGAGCAGCAGGAGGGGAGGAGGGAGGAGAGGGAGGAGGGAGGAGAGGGAGG